CCAGGGAAGCAGCAATGCACATTTGGAGTCGACCCCGGTCTGGTGTCCTGCCTCCTCTGTTCTGAGTCACCTCCTGAGGTGCTGGTTTAAAAATGTATAAATATACATTACTTTGCTTTAGTTTTTTAGCACATCATTATTCTGTATCAATTTGTGTTGTATGTTTGTGGGTGTGCATGTTCTGTGTGTGTGTAGGTCATCAGACAACTTGCAGGTGCTGGTGTCCTCTACCATGTGGGTGCCTGGATTGGATTTAGGTTGGCAGGAATGGCAGCGGTTGAGCCGTCTCACCCAACCCCATACTACCACTGTGGAAAACGGCTTTGGATTTCCTTTTCAGGTTGGTCATGCGTATACCCTACAATAAAGAAATTCCATCCCTGAGGATGTGCCTAGAAAACCTATGGCACACTTGCTCCGAAGTTGCCTATAGGAACATCCCACAATAGTCTCAAACTAGAAATGCTCAAATGCCCATCAAGGTAGACTGAAGATTAAACTGTAGAATTTCCACATGAGGGAGCACTAGACAAGAAAAGATTATAGTTTTGCTTATTAGCCTGGAAGAAAAATAATAACACTATACAATGATGAACCAGACAGTCAGACAGACAGACAGACACACACCACTCACTCATACACAAATATACATGGTGTGAGTCCAACTTTAAAAACCTGAAAGAAAACAAAACAAAAAAATGCCAGCACTCAGGAGGCAGAGGGAGGCAGATCTCTAAGTTTTAGGCCAGTCTGGTCTACAGAGCACATTGCACAGGGCTACAGAGAAATCGTGTCTCAAGCAAACAACTACACTCCCCACAAACAAAACAAGAAAACTAGCATCTAAAGAATGTTGTGTAGAGATACACAGACAGGTAAGAAGTCACCTAAAATAAGAAAGCACACTAGCATACCTGCGGGAGTGTGAAGCAAGAGTCCAGCCTGAGACTGGTGTCCAGGGCTAACCCCAGCAAATAGTGAGACTGTCTCTAGCCTAGAGCAATAAACAAACATGTATATAGGGTGTTGGTGGGGTGGCTTGGTGGCAGAACCCTTGCCTAATATGAACTAGGCCATGGATTCCATCTCAGTGCCATAAAATATAATAAAATAAAATGAAGGAGGGCTTCAAAGTCATTTTAACTTATTTAAACAGAATAAAACCCACGGTCTTGCTACGTAGCCCAGGCTGGCCTGGAACGGGCAGTCCTGCTTCAGTCTTGCCAGTGATGGGTCTGTAGGTGTAAAACACGGAACCTGCTTCTGCCTCGTATTTTTGACCCTGCATGCACGGGCTTCCTGCACATTTTACTGGTGAAAGAAAGCAGTCTGTGATCCTCCTCTGCCCCCCTTTTCCATCTAGACCCCATTCTGTCCCCAGCAGGCAGAGGAGGAGCCAAGGTCCCTTAGAACAGCTCCTTTCTTTATTTCTGGGTGGGTCAGAGGATATGGGGGGAGGGCCTCCCTTCTGCAGCTGGGCCCTGGCTACTCCAGGGTGGGAAGGACTGGGGAGAGCAGGGTCAGACGAAGCCGGCTGGCCCCGCTGTTTGTGCCAACTCTGGATTAGACCAGGGCTCCGGCCCACCTGTTGTTTCACTCATCCAGCAAGGGCATAGCTGCTGAGCACTTACTGCAGGCCCTGATGCCGTTGAAGGTTCACAGACCTGAAAGGGTTTTATTCTTGTTACTGTAGGTTGTTTTTTCTCTTCTTTACCACAAACACAAAGTCCTGGCTGGCACCAAATGCAAACTCCTCCTCCTCCACCTCCTGAGTGGTGGGACCATGGGCACTTGCCATTATGCTGGGAGAGAGATGGTTTTTGAAAATGCCTGCTTTTTTTTTATATAAGATTTATTTATTTATACAACATTCTGCCTCCATGTATGCCTGCATGCCAGAAGAGGGCACCAGACCTCATTACAGATGGTTGTGAGCCACCATGTGATTACTGGGAATTGAACTCAGGACCTCTGGAAGAGCAGTCAGTCAGTGCTCTTAACCTCTGAGCCATCTCTCCAGCCCCGAGATTGTTTTTGAACTCTTTAACATTATTACTAAAAGGGACCATACACCAAATAACTATGTTATCAGCAAAATATAGACCAGGCATCACATGACTGGTGATGCTGCTATACAGACAGTGAAATTGCAGATCTAGCCCTCAGGCTTCTAGTCTAATGGGAGAGAAACGGATACATGAAATAAATACAGCCCATTGTGCAGGATGGGGGCTTCCTCCTGCTGAGCGCTGTCTGGTTAATCTAATAGCAACCAGGATACAAGAAATACTTAGTAGAAAGGAGCTAGCCTCTGAGAGTGGGTAGGTGGGGTGCTCAGAAGCCACGTTCCCTGCTGGAGGAAGGAGGTGGAACGCATGAAGACGAGAGCCCCACCTTGTCCTTGCGCGTGGAGCAAACCCGTGGATGCACAGACCCATGGCAAGAGCAAGGTGTGGGGGGTGTGGCTGAGGGGGACGCAGAGGGCTGGGGAGCTCTGAAGGAGTCCTGCATGGAGGCTTCAACCTTGAAGCAAGAGCACAGTGAAGGGCTGGACTTGCCGGCTGGAAGAACCAGCTGGAGGGCAAAGTCATAGCTAGGAAATAAGCAAGGGGGACGGCACAAGCACAGACACCGCGGGGAGGGAGCTACAGAAAGCGTCCAGATGATCAAAACAGTGTTTGTAAGTCCTTAGGCCACTTCCGCCTCCCGCCCGCCCTCTCCCTCCCTCCCTCCCTCCCTCCCTCCCTCCCTCCCTCCCTCCCTCCCTCCCTCCCTTTCTTTCTGTCCTTCTTTGAGACAGGTTTCTCTGTGTAGTTCTGGCTGTCATGGAACTCCATATGTAGACCAGGCTGGCCTCAAACTCACAGAGATCTCAGAGATCTGCCCTTGTCTGCAGGGATTAAAGATGTGCACCACTAATCAGCTTCTCTCTCTCTCTCTCTCTCTCTCTCTCTCTCTCTCTCTCTCTCTCTCTCTGTCTGTGTCTGTCTCTGTCTCTCTCTGTTTTTCTTCAGATAAGGTCTCAATAGTCCTGGGTGTCCTGGAACTCTGTCTACTAAGATGGTTTTGAACTCACGGACCCGCCTGCCTTGCTTCCCAAGAGCTGGGATTAAAGGTGTGCACTACCATGTCTGGTCTTCCTCCTTTTTTAACCCTGGGTCTAGCCAGCCTCAAACTCGTGCTTTAGTCTCTGGGACGAAGGTGCGCCACTGAAATGTTAGATCTTTATTTGGGGGCCTTTTCCAGACAGTTTTACTTATATAACCCGGGCTTGCCTTGAACTGGATATGTAGGCAGGCCAGGCTGGCCCCAAGCTCATAATATCTTCTTGTACCGCTGTACCTAGTGTAAACTTTGATCTCAAATGTGCCGGGACACATGGAAGGCTTTAGGGGAGCCTTGTTCCCACTGGCTCAGGGTGGAGGTAGGCTCGAGCCGCCTGGCCTGGAAGAAGGGAAGCAGGTTGGTGGATTGTTGTGGAGAAGTCAAAATTTCAGAATGGCTCCTGGTTAGAGGAAGTAGGTGGAACACACCAGAGAGCCTCCACCCTTCGCAACAGTGGCTCTGAGTTCCTGTGCTTGGGGCTGAAAGCAGGCAGAAGCACAGACTGGTGTGAGGATAGGGCCCTGCTTCATCTTGTCCAGCCAGGGCTTTTCCGAATGCCCACTGGTGGACAGGACTCGTCTGAGGAAGTGAAGACAGTCACATCTTTTGTAAGAAGATTGTCATAAATCACAGTTTTGCACATTAAAACACTATCCTTAGGACCTGCAATTCAATCAGTAGAGCGCTTAGAGGCATGAATAGCCAAAAAGAAACTCCTTGCAGACTCAAAAGTGGCTTTGTCTTGCAGGAGTGGGAATGGTACAGGAGAAACAAGAGACGGACTTTCCTTTTTAATAAACGTTTCAAAACTTACACTGTTTTGGAGACTCCTGAAGAGACGGCTCCGTGGTTAGGAGGCTCTTGCTTGGGTTTCCATGTACCCCCATGGCAGCTTACAGCGCTATTCCCAGGTCCAGTACCAGGACATCCAGCGCCCTACTATGCTCTCTGCGGGTACCAGCACGCAAGCAGAGCACTCACGTACATGTAGGCAAAACACTCATACACATAAAATAAGCTCGAAATAAAAGTAAATTACAGTTTTTGTAACAGTGACCGTATTTAAAAAAAAATACAACACTCACCTTTGCTCTGTTTATGGTCTCCCTATTTTTGTTTGGCTTTCTTGGATGAGATGGTGGTGATAGACACAATTTATTGTAAAATTCCTAACTTGGAAAATCCATCCAAAGCACGCTGGTAGAGTGGGAAAGTGGAGTGCTCAGGTCCGCGCACCTGCGGCCCCGTGGATGGCCGGCAGGGGTCAGGCGAGCTCCACGCAGCGTCAGAGCAGGTCCTGAGAGTCATCTTTGCGCTAGGCGCTTCGAAGAGCTTTGAGGTGGGAGGCTGAAAGAGAGCAGTTTGGATCTGCAGCTGTAGGTTGCACATCACGACCGAAGACCATCCGGGCCGAGGGTCCCAGCTCCCATCGGGGAATGCGATGTGCTTGGAGCTCCCCGTAACCCCGCAAGCGGCTGCTTTACAAGGCCTCTGTCTCCACCCAGCCTCTCCGGCGTCGGCGTGGAGGCCGAGGCGTGGCTGGCTCACCTTTGATCCCTAGGTTTAAGTAACTCACCTTCCAGGGCTTTGCATGGGAGCCTTAAGCAGTCTTGCCTCCAGCGCCCAGTTGTTTGCGAAGGTCAGGGAAGCAGCTGATGAGCGAAGTGAAGCAACATTACAGATTACCACTTTGTTACAGGGTTAAGTTTCATGTCTCTGGCCCGAGTTGGATTGTTGTAAAACTCGGTGAGTGCCTTAGTCCAGCGCCGCTCCCCAGGGGACCCAGGTGTCTACATTTACATGTCTAGATTTGGTAAGGAGCAAGACCAGACCACACTTAACACATCCCATTACCTCCCACCCCTGTTTCCCAATCCACTTTTCAGGCTACACAGTTTGTTTTGTCTTTTATTTTAAAACATTTGTGTACATCATATAAAAAACAGGAAAACAATCACATTCTTCCTTTCTGTTGCTATAACTGGATGCAAACAGATTGGGTAATTATAGAGATTGAGCTCGAGGTTCCAGAAGCATTGGCATTCCCATCTCCAGTATTTTCTGTTGCATCACAGCATGGATGGGACCTCACATGACAGAGCCCAGGCGTAAAAAGCCACTAAAGTTACGCGGGTCCTACTCCCCAAGCCATTAGCTGATGGTTGGTATTAAAGCTTTTTGGGGGGAGGGAACCAGTTTCTCTCTGTGAGGTCTTGGCTGTCCTGGACTTCGCCCTGTAGACTAGGCTGCTCTCAAACTCACTGAGATTCTCCTGCCTCTGCCTCCCCAGTGCTGGGAAGGGATTTTAACAAGTGTACTTTTGGGGATACTCTCAAGTTGGTAGAGTCCCAGTAGGCAACACTGGGTGACATACTTCATTTTACTAACTTGTGGAGGTTAGGGGACAACTTGAGAGTCAGTTCCATCTACCACCTGGGTTCCAGGACTGCAACTCAGATGGTTAGGCACGAAGGCAAGCCATCCTGCAGGCTTGCAGGTCCTCTGCCACATCTTGAACACCTTGTGTGGGTCATTCCAGTGATCTGCCTCAGGTGACCACCAAGTCTACTGCATTCATGAACATTCAGAGCAGCTAAGGGGCAGCAGCCACGAGCTCTGGATCTTCTCCTCATGATGGGACTAGATTGGGGTTGGAAAGGTGCTAACTCTACCTGTCTCAAGCCTCACCACTTAGCTGGACCAAGCACTGCTGGGTTGGGATCCAGGAAAACCAGTTTTACTTTTGGGTACTGAGGAGTGGACAACTCAGATGCTCTACCTAGGATGCTATACGCAGTGGCCCCAGGTCGGGATGTTCAGGACACTCCATTTTTGCTACTGGCCTATCTGGATCCTAGATCCAACTCTGACCTTGAAAAAGTCAAGTTGTCTGGATATTAAAAACAAAATAAAACAAAACCACCCTCAGAGACTGGGATGGGCATGGTGGTGGCACATTCCTTTAATCCCAGAACTTGGGAGACAGAGGCAGAAGTGTGTTTTGCATTCAAGGCCAGCCAGGGCTATATATTGAGACAAAACAAAACTCAGAAATGTGCCAGGTGTATTCATGCCTGTAATTTTGGCACTAAGGAGGCAGAGGCAGGCTAGACTCTGTTTCAAAAGCAAACAACTCTCAGGGACAGTCTCTAGAAACTTAATAAGGTCCTCCTGCCTTCCCACGATTGATCCCTCCACTCCCTTTAAGAGAAAACACAGGGAGGTACATGGGGCTCATGCCTGTAATCCCAGCACTTGAGGTAGGGGCAGATCAAAATCTTAGTTCAAGGCCAGTCTAGGTTACAGGGAGCCCCAAATAAAACCATGGAGAAGTTGGTAGGGGAGGGAGGAGATAGTAGACTCAGTGCTCCAGTGTATGCTTAGCACACTCGAGGTGCAGCTAAGCACAACAAAAGAAAAGGAGACTCACTGGGAGATTTGGGCCTGAGAGTTCCCATTCTAGCCTCCTGTCCCCTTACCAGTGGACAGAGTGAAGGGCAGGATCTTCAAGGACACTCAGGATGCAGACAGAGGGCCACAGCAAGTGGCTTGCCTCTCCTCCAGATTACTGCTTTGGGCACGGAAGGGTTGGGTTGGGGAGCATGTTTAATACAAAATGGCAGCAGCCGTGCAGTTGTAACAAAATTAGCCACAGGGATGTCTCGAGAAATGTACACAGGCAGAGACTGGAGTTGAGCCAGGCAACGCAGATTGGCCACAGGGCCTGTGCCTGCTGCCAGGTCAGCTGCAGAAGGTCACATGAGCAGATCCAGTGCTAGCCTGTCACAGAGTGATGGTCAGATTCAGGTACACCAGGGAGGCCAGCAAGGCTAGGCCAGGACTCTTCTCTGTCACACAGAGCTGTTTAGACCGTGGGAAACAGCTTACAAGGACAAGGCTTTTGCTTTTTCCTCAAGAACAGAGACCATTAAGAAAATTCAGCAGTGGAGAGTAAGGGCAGAGTCACGGAAGCCCCCCACAAGCCCCAGAAAAACCAAAGTCCTTTTTGCAGTCCATTTTAAGCTTTCCTGGCTGGCTGACTGACTGACTGGAGGATCTGACCTCTGTTCCGACCCTCAGCGGGCAGAGGCTGGTGTGAGAAGGGCAGCTGAGCTGCAGGGCTTCCAGGGACAGGTAAGAGGGCTGCCAGGCCTCTGCTTCCAAAGAAAGGCCTCAGGGCTAGGACCAGGGGGCTAGCGGAAGTCTGCATTGAATGCTCTGCCGATGATCAGCCGCCTCACTTCGCTGGTCCCGGCTCCTATCTCATACAGTTTGGCATCTCGAAGGAAGCGGCCCATGGGGAAGTCATTGATATAGCCATTTCCACCTGCGAAACAGATGTGGGAAGAGAAAGGACAGGGTTGAAGGCAGCAAGGAAAACCAACAGAGAGCCAAGGAGTCTTTCCCCAGCGTCTTCAGGGACTGGCTCCTGTCCATGTAACCTACAAGCATTCTCCCAGTACCCTTCTTTCTCTCTCCCTCTCCTACCTTCCCTCTGTGGTAAGGATTGAGTATGGACTTCACACACACTGAGCTATAAGCCCAGTTCTTATTTTAAATATCTCTAGGTTATTTATATATCTAATGTGACATAAGTGCCATTTAAATAGTTGTTATGTTGGAATGTTTAGGGAATCAGGACAAAAGAAGAAGAGTATGTTCAGCTTAGGTGCAATTTCCCTTTTGTTTTACATGTAGTTATTTTGTGTGTATATGTGTGCATGCACATGTACCTTGACACACATGTAGAGGTCAGAGGAAATGTGTATCAGTTTTTTCCTTTCACCATGTGGGTTCTGGGGACCAAACTCAGCTTGCCAGGTTTAGAAGCAAACACATTTACCCATGGAGTCATCTTGTTGGTTCTTTTTTTTTAGTGCTTGCAGAATCCCAAGCCACTGATATAATTTTCTTTTCTGAATATTTCCGTCCTTCCATTTCTTTTTTGAGGCACGGTCTGTCATATCCTAGGCTGGCCCCCAACTCCCAAAGTAGCCAAAGATGGCCTTGAACTTCTGATCATCTTATCTCTGCCTTCCTGAGTTCTGGGACTGTAGGTGTGTGCCATTTGTCATCTGGTTAATACAGTGCTGGAGTGTTGGCTTTGTGTATGCTTGGTAAGGATACTACACTGAGCTATAGCTATGGCTCAAGTTCGTCTCAGTCCCCTCGAAATCCTTCTGCTTCAATTTCCCAAGTGCTGGGATTATAGGTTTGCACCCATGGCCAGGCTCTTCTAAATTTCTTTGATTATTGGTTGAACCCAGAAGAACCCCAGGATATATAGGCTCTGGGGGAAGAACTGATCAAAGAGAAACAGAGGCAATGAGAGAACCCTCAGGGGTCAGGAAGGCATGACAGAGCTGGTCTAGAAGATCTCCCAGAGTGTTGAGGACTCAGACAAGGAAAGGACAAAACCTGGGTGGACCGCAGAGTGTCCACCTAGCATGCCCAAAGTTCTGGATTCAGACCCCAGCACCACACACAAACCAGGTGTGGTGGCGCATGCCTAGAAATCCCAGTACTCTGGAGGAGGAGGAGGCGAGAGGATTGCAGATTCCAGGTCATCCTCAGCTACATGACATGCTCACACACCCAAGACCCAACTTTAAGCAACAAAACACAGAATGGGCAGCAGACATGGCCAAGAGGAATGGGATTCAAACCTAAGCCCACTACAAATAATGCTGCCCCATCTGAGGGTCTCTGTCCCCATTTCCTGGTGACCTTAGACCAGTCAGGGAAGATAAGGAATGCTTGTAGCCTTCAACTTTTTCATGTTTCATTTATTGTTCTCTCCCCCCACACCTTTTTTTGAGGCAGAGTCTCTTTGTGTAGCCATGGCTGTTCTGGAACGTGCCCTGTAGACCTTGAACTCACGGAGATTCACCTGCTTCTGCTGCTTGAGTGCTGGGGGTAAAGGTGTTCACCACCACCACCCAGTCTTTTTTTTTCCTCTTTAAAAAACTGATTTTCAGCCGGGCATTGGTGGCGCACGCCTTTAATCCCAGCACTCGGGAGGCAGAGGCAGGCGGATCTCTGTGAGTTCGAGACCAGCCTGGACTACCAAGCGAGTTGCAGGACAGCCTCCAAAGCCACAGAGAAACCCTGTCTCGAAAAACCAAAACAAACAAACAAACAAACAAAACAACAACAACAACAACAACAACAAAAAACCCTGATTTTCTGTAGAGGGCTTTTTGCCAGCATGTTTGTCTGTGCACCGCACGCATGTGTGTCTGGCACTCTCAGAGGCCACATAAAGACGTTGATTCCCCTAGGACAGCAGTTACAGATGGCTGTGAGCTGTCAGGTGGGTGCTGGGAATACAGCCTGGTCCTTTGGAAGAGAAGCCAGTGTTCTTAACCACTGAGTTGTGTCTTCAGGCCCCACCCCTTTAAACAAAAAAGATCCATTTACTTACGGACTGTCATTACAAAAACTTCCCTGGGGGCAGACAGAGCCTAGGGGTATCGGCGTGGCTGTGGCTAGCTTAAGCAGAGCGAGGAGTAAAATCCCAGGAGTTCAGAATGAGGGCCACTCACCTAAGCACTGAATGCCGTCCAGGGCTACCTGTGTGGCACACTCGGCTGCATACAGAATCACACCGGCACAGTCCTGTGGGACGAGGCTTTGGTCAGCAGGGTTCAGACAAACGTACAGGCACCTGTCCCGATAAATTACCCACTAACCCACCTCTTCTTCCCCCAGAGCTGGTCCTTACCTTGGCAATGATGTGGCCTTCATCACAGGCCTTGGCAACATTGTAGACATACTGTCGACACGCCATGAGACGGGTGTACATGTCAGCCATCTTTCCCTGCATTAGCTGGGCACAAAGGGAGGCCATAGGTTAATATGCTGGTACACTCTAATTACTAAAAGCAGGTCAATGGCAAGGACAAGGTGACAGCCAGGGATGAGGAACCAGGGACAAGAGAAGAGATGGGACTTGCCTAGGACAATGGAGATGGGAACAGCTCTAGGAGTGAGGCCTTCTGTGTGGATAGAGTTGCCTCCTGTGTGGCTAGCTTCCGGCAGCCTCTTCCAGCAGAAGGGTGGGATTAGAAATGTAGCTAGTTCCCTTTTCCCTAAGCTCGAATGTTCTACATGTTTTACCCTCCAACCTTGCAGTGTCTAGTTCATTCATCTCAAATAGAAATAGGTAAGACAATGTGACAAACTTCCCAAGCCAGGTTGAATGTGAAATTAGCTGCATTCTAACAATTCATTTTGCCAGAGGACAGTAACCCACAATGCACAACTACCTCATCTCCTTTAATCCAGTGAGTGGGCATTTCAGCATGTATTCCCCTTACCTGGAATTGGCCGATTTTCTGACCAAAGGCTTCCCTTACATGCAGATAGGGAATGGTGTGGTCCAGGACAGCCTGCATGATCCTGCCGGAAAAAAGAGAGACACAATGGGTGTGTGATGCCATCAGGTGAGGTGAAAAGGTGTCAGGGGATTGAGAAATCCCCGCTGTCACTCCCTGCACAGGGACAGCACCGCCTGCCCAGCTCCCAGGCACCTTCCGCTGAGATGGAGTGGGCGTGGTGGGCGGCAGGCAGGCGTCAAGCCTCTCGTTTCACAACCACACTGACTAAGCAGAGCTGCTTTCGCCTCACCTGCCATCTGTCACATAATGACATTTCCCTCTGTGTGAAGAAGTTAAACAGAGGAGGAGATTCCCAGGACAGAGGAGAGCCCATAGAGTAGCTCCCTTTGGGCCTCCCCTCCCTGTCAGGGGAGGCTGCTAACCCAACAAGGCTGTCGGGCTCAGGTTGCCCAGAGCCTCACACTCATGAGTTCCACGAGCTTCCTCATGAGCCTCACACTGGTGAAGGAAGCGTCATGCTTACCCAGGAGGCCTCCAGCCCCCTCACACTTACCCAAGCGGTCCACCTGCCAGCACCAGGCGTTCGAGGTCCAGGCCGCTCATGAGTACGTAGACACCCTTACTCTCTTGGCTCAGGATATTAGCAGCTGCCGGAACAAATGCCAGTCAGAGAGGCCTGTTCATAGCCTCTTCACCTTTACATAAGTTACTGTGTTACACAAGGCACAAACGTACATTACTTGACCTTCAACAAGGTTTTCAAGTGAGAGGAAAAGATGGAATTCCAGTCAGAAGTAGGGTTCTCAGGACCCCACATCACCCCCAACACTACAGAGCCCCAATTTGTTAGCTCTGTCCTCTCACCCTGCACTCCCTGGGATGGACAGAAGAAAGGCTGATTGGTTTAGAAGTCCCCCGCCCGCTTCACTGTTTCTACACGTGATTTCTACTTATACAGAAATCAGAGAACTCGTCACCCCGAGGCTGTGTACTTGGTCAGGGTCACTTCTCAGCAACACCCATGAAAGCGGCTTTGCCTTGTTAGGGTGACAGTGACAGAAGCTGATGAGCACCTACCCCCCAATAAGGACTTGGGAGATGTGGGCAGACATTTAGTTTAGAAACTTCACAACCTAACCCGCCTTTAAGGCTGGTGAGTGAATTTCGTCCCTTCTTAGAAGGTCGGTCTGTATGGATTCTCCTTCCCGGAGATTCTTTCTGACCACAGCATACTGTTTCTGGATGGTTTACGACTGATGCACAGAGCAGTCCTAATTCAGGAGCAGATCTGCCCTCAGCTCTCTCCCAGTGCTACATAGTGTCACGTTCACAGGGGAGAAAATATTCCTGCAAAATCAAATTACTTCTCCTTCATCGGGTCTGGCTTCTGTCAATTTACTCAGAAGGGCTTTTAGCATCATTACCGAGTGTAACTCAGTGTTGTGGTTTGGACACGAAATGGCCCCCTGCGGGCTGCTGTGCTAAAGGTTTGGTTCTCAATACAGCTGTGCTCTGAGGTGGGGTTTGGTACGTGACTAGATCGTGAAGGCTGACCTAATCAATGGATTAACCCAATGATGGATTCATAATTTGATGGCATTAATGAGAAACAATGGAAACAGAGACAAGGCCTCCAGGAAAACTGGCCACTGGGGTGTGTCTTTGAAAGTCTAATGGGACTCTGGCCTCTTCCATCTCTGCTACTTATCCTGTAGGATAAGCAGGTCTCCCAAGGCCCATCTGCCCCAGGCTCTGGCTCACCATAGGCGCAGAAGCAATGGAACCAAAGGACCTTAGGCTTGACACCTGAAACCATGAGCCGAAATAATTCTTCCTCCTTCAACACCGGTTCCTGTCAGGTTGTTTATAATGGTGACAGGAAGTCGGACTAGTGTATGTCGGATGTACAGGCAACGCAAAGGAAGTCTGAGGGGTGTAAGTGGAGGGTGGTGAGCCTTACCTTTCACCATCCTTCATCTAGGCAGGCAAGCAAGCAGCAGCAGAGCCTGTGGCCAGGACAGACAGCTGTCCAGCAGCTCCAGGCCCACAGTCTAGCTGCATCTCACAGTACACATAATGGCAATGAACCTCTGTAATAGTGACATGGACTTTCCCAGCTTGCAGAGGAACCAGGGCAGGAGCTGCCTTAGTCTGCGGACACTCACCAGGAACTTTGCAGTCTTCGAAGATTAGCTCGCAGGTGTTGGAGCCCCTCATGCCCAGTTTGTCGAGCTTCTGGGAAGTACTAAAACCAGGCATACCCTTTGTAGGAAACCAAAGGAGGTCCCGATTAGACTTGCCCCCAGGGTGGCTAATAAAGAGAAAACCCACTTTATGTACTGATTCTGACACCAGCCCAGCATGCCCGCATCCACTCCCAAGTTCTCGCTCTGGATGCAGAACTTCAGTCTTCAGGCCCCACCACTTTGTTCCCAGCTCCTCTGCTGCCAGCCTGCTTCTCCCCAGTTCTCAGGGGAATAGTTCTTTCTCAAAAATCATTCAGTCCCCAGCTCTCCTCTCTCTCCCAGCGATACAAAGGGCCAATTCCTCTGCCCCTTTCTGAAGCCACCTGTTCCTGAAGGAACCCCAACTCCAATCACCTACATGCTTTGACCAGGATGACTCAGATGCACGGTATTGCCAAGTGCCCAGGGGACTGGTGGCCCACACTGGTCCCCGATACCTCCAGGCCTTCTCAGTTCCGGTCTCAGATAGCGCCCCTCCCTCTTCAAGGAGCGTGCTGGCAACCTTTGTAGCTTTGCAGCATTCCCCACAGCTGGGTCCCCAAGCCTCAGCGGCACCTGCTCTCTTTCTTCCCCATCATTAGGCAGATGTTGTGAAGCCAGCACCTGCTCCCTTAACTTATATAGCTCCAACATTTTCTAGGCTGGGGCACATGCCTTTAATCCAATCACTCGGGAGGCTGGGGAAGACAGATCTCTGTGAGTTCAAGGGAAGCCTGGTCTACACAGTAAGTTCTTGGCCAACCAGGGCTACACAATGAGACCCCATCTTCAAAACAAAACAACCCCCCCGCCCCTGTTTTCTTTTCTCTAAACTGAAAACTTTGCTGTTTCCTGTCTTTTTTTTTTTTTTTTTTGAGACAGTCTTGCTGTATAACCCTGGACCTCACAAGGACCAGGCTAGCCTCACGCTTGCCTCTGTCTGTCAAGTGCTGCTCAGGTTACAAATGCAGGTCACCTTGTCTGGCTCCTGGTTTGTTTAAAACAAAATCAAAACCAAAGTGGAACTGAGTTTTAATCTAACTCCTCATGTATCTTGTCCTTGTCATACTATTGGAGGTTTGGAGGTACAGTGTCCAAATCATCATTTGCATTCCTGCCCATGCCTCAGTCTCCCCCAAAGCTCCTGCTCAGCTCAGTGAGAATATCTCATGGCTTCTTTTCCAATTCTTCTTCCTTGACTGTCTTTAGACTTGACTCAGTCTCTCTGGGTCTTTCTCTCTCTCTCTCTCTCTCTCTCTCTTTTTAGTGCTGAAAATTGAAGCCAGGGTCTATACATGCTAGACAGCTAACTTCTCTACCACTGAGCAACTCTACCAGAACCAGACTTGATTTTTTTTTGGGGTGATCTTCTTGAGTCTTGGCTTGCCCGCCACCTCTTAACCAGCCAGAATGAGTTACATCTGTCACTACTGTCAGAACTGGAAGTTTCTCTGATACCACGCCTACCACCCTCACCTTCTCCACAATGAAGGCCGTGATGCCCCGAGAAGCTGGCACGGCAGTCAAATCTGTCTTGGCGTAGACAACGAGGACATCAGCATCTGGGCCGTTGGTGATCCAGAACTTGTTGCCATTCATAATGTAGTAATCTCCTAAGGGAGAGGCGGATGTTGGCTGTTTGCTGGTCTCCTGTTCTGGTTCAGTTCACAGAACTGCAGCTGCCCTGCTGAGAACCGATACTGGGAACCCAGCAGAGACGACCCATAACAACTACGCCCTCACCCTAAGTTTGTTTTTCTGCCTTCTCCAACTGCCTGGTAGCAAGTGGCCTTACCTTTCTTTTCTGCTTTTAGTTTCATGGAGACAACATCCGAGCCAGCATTGGGCTCACTCATGGCCAGGGCTCCGATGAATTCACCACTGATCAGCTACAAGGAAAATCAAGAGCCACCTTGTTAGGACCTTGGAAGCACCCTGCGACAGCTCCGCGAAGTGTCTTTTCCTGCCCACATTCTGTCCTCACACCACTGCCCCAGAGCAAAGTGGAGTATCTGTCCACCACTTTTTGGTAGTGTTGGAATTGGCTCCAGGTCCCAGACATGCTATGCAAGGGATTTACCATAGAGAGGGATTTACCATTGAGCTCACTCCTAACCCTCTCCTAGTCTTTATATTTTTTAAAAATTATATTTTTGTTTATTTGTGCTCTGTGTTTATGTGTGCACTGTGTATCAAACTCAGGTTATCAAACTTGATGGCAGGTTCCTGTTTGCTTTTTGAGATAAGGTCTTGCCAAATCACCCAAGCTGGGATTTGTGATCCTCCTGCTTCTGCCTCCCAAGCAGCTGAAACTCAACTCATGTCACAAGTCACCACATCCATGGACAAAAGTCCACTCTCCTTTTCTTTTGAGACAGGGTTTCTCCTGGATGTCCTGGAACTCACTCTGTAAACCAGGCTGGCCTCAAACTCACAGAGATTCACCTGTGTCTGCCCTCAAGTGCTGGGATTAAAGGTGTGAGCCATCACCACCTGGTCAAATTTTTTTGACTTAAGTTTTTTAAAACAATCTCAGTCACTTTCCTAATTATATTTAGTTCATGGCAGCAAGACAAGAATGAAAATCTGCTTGGTTCCTACCAAGGGGAGGGCATGTCATAGAGTGGTTGTGTTGAGTCCATGTGTGTTTCCTACCAAGGGGAGGGCATGCCATAGAGTGGTTGTGTTGAGTCCACGTGGGTTTCCTCATCCCCATTTCCTCACCTTGGGAAGGTATTTCTCTTTCTGTGCCTCATTCCCGTTGCGGACAATCTGGTTGACACAGAGGTTGGAGTGGGCACCATAGCTAAGTCCCACTGCTCCAGAAGCCCGGGATATCTCTTCCATCACCAACACATGTTCTAGGTAGCCCAGGCCAGAGCCGCCATACTGAACTGGGAGTGGGACAGTGTGGGAAGCAGAAAGGCACCCAGGTTACATTGGAATGTTGGCAGGAACCTTTCATTAACTGGCAGAAAAGAAACACCCCGATGGCTATTCCAAGTTCCCCTAGCAAGGCTGCCAGGCTGTTTGCCAGGAACTCCTCTTAGAAGAACATACAACTGGTTCTGCTTGCTGCTGGTGGGGAACTGAAGTTCCTAAACCATCATTGCCAGCTCTGGCTTTATCCCTGATGTCTTCAGTGAGGACAAGCAAAAACCTGAGCACCCACTCTTCCAGAATGTTCTTAACCACTGAGCCATCTCTCTGGTCCCAAAATGTGAGATTTCATAGCATAGCTTTGGGAACAAAGTGGGACTGATACATATACATGTAGCATATACACACAGATACATACATTTTAAAGAATCTTTGAGAGAGAGAGAGAGAGAGATTCTCAGGACAGGCACAGTAGCACACACCTAAAACCTCAGACTTTGGAAAATAGACATGGGAAGATCATGAGTTTAACGCTGTCTCTGGCTATGCAGCAAACTCAACGCTGGCCTGGGCTATCTGAGGCCCCATCTCAAAAAATTCAGAAGGAAGCCGGGCGTTGGTGGCGCACGCCTTTAATCCCAGCACTCGGGAGGCAGAGGCAGGTGGATCTCTGTGAGTTCGAGGCCAGACTGGTCTACAGAGTGAGTTCCAGAACAGCCTCCAAAGCCACAGAGAAACCCTGTTTTGAAAAACCAAAAAAAAAAAAAAAAAAAAAAAAATCAGAAGGAAAGGAAAAGAAAATGAAAAAGAGAAAGAAAGCACATTTTCCTTGAAAGCTGTTCCCCCAAAAATTCAAGTGTCTGGGTCCCTGGTCCCTTAGCGCAGCTGCTGTGTAAAGCCAGGTAAACAAGCTTGTCTAAGCACTCAGGTTGCCCTCAGGCGAGTGAAGGAAGCACAGCAGTCTGCTCTCCAGGAAGGAAACTAGGAAACAGAACTCCTGTCTGGCTCTCAAGACTCATCCTTCAGCTGGCGTACACCTACGTCTCCGCCACCTGAGAGCCAGAAGCAACACATTCAAGTCTTATCTGACTATGGAGGGCATTCAAGGCCAGCTAGGGTAGCGTGGCCAGACCCAGTCATGAGATAAAACAGTAGGAAAGTGTTTTTGGCTAGACGAGTAGCCAGTGAGCCCCAACAAGTTCCAGCAAGCCTCCAGCTCCCTCCCCAAGTCAGTTCTGGGATTATAGGCACTGGGTGGGACAGGCCTTGATTTCAAACAGTGCTGAGCTCTGAGCTCTGGTCCTCTTGTTTACACAGCAAGTGCTCTTAGCTTGAGCCTTCTCTATAGCCCCTTGTTTTTGTTTTTCTGAAACAGGATCTCACTCTGTAGCCTAGGTTGTCCTGGAACTAACTGTGTAGCACAGGATGGCCTTGAACTCAGAGAAGTCCTCCGGTTTCAGGCCCCTAAATGTTGGGGATTATAGGAATGCGCCATCATGCCCATTTCCCTTTCTGCCTGTGTTGGCAACAGAGAAAGTTCTCTTTAGGGAAAGAAGCCATACTCACCAGGGGCTGTGATGCCCAGGACTCCTAAGCTCCCCAGCTGCTTCCAGAACTCCTGTTAACAGAACAGAGTGGGGAGAGTCTCAAGAAGGCAGTTAGCTACGTGCAGCCAGAACAAGACCAAGTCATTCAGAGAAAGCAGCTATACCCTCAGGGAGGCGCCCCTCACCTTTCTAGGCAGTAACTCATGCAGCGCTGCCCCAGAAGCCTCCACTCCCACCCTCAGCCTCAACTCACTCTCAGGTCCTTGAACTCGTTGCTCTGGTCAATCTCCTGGGCCTTGGGGACCAGGTTTTCATGAAGGAACTTAGATATAGTCTGACGAAGCTAGAGGGAGAGAAGGAGGCAGAGGCTACTGAAACCAAGACATGATTGCCACCGAGAGCAACATCCCTGTGGTTGAAGACATATTCAGGGAGCTAGACCACAGGCACAAACTAAACTCAAGGGCTATACTTCTAATAATTTAGAAATAAAGGGACCACATCCTCACTCAGCCCCCTGCTTTAGGGGCTATGACAGGCTACAGAAGAGACACATAGGCCTCTGACACAAGGAAACTCCAGATCCTGTGGCCTCCCAGAGCCTAGGACCAAAACTGAACACAAAGAAGCTCCAGGACACCCTCCCCCCCCCACAGCCTCCTAGATGCTTGGTTGCTGGGAACTGTTTGGACACAAAAGAAACTCCAGGGGGGACCAAAACTTCCCCTGTGGTCTCCAGGATACAGTTCTGAAAACTATTGGTGTCTATGAACAGCAGGCAACGTGCAAGTAACAAGACAATGTTATAGAAACCACAGAATGTTTCCTCTCAGCACTGACCAATGAGAATAATTGGTACACACGTATTTCATACCAAAATATGACTTTGAGAAATTCTCCTAATTGTTCCCAAATGTCAACCAATCAGGAACCAAACTGTACCTACTGATGTAATTCTGTAACTTTTGCCTTTAAAACCTAGCAGCAGACTGGGAACTTCACTCCCTCTGGAGGCTGCTATGACAGGGATCCCTGTCATGGGTGGATGAACAATTAAAACCTTGCTTTTGCAGTTTAGTGGGTCTGTCTTGCTGGTGGTCTCTGGGGACTTTGCAACTTGGGCACAACAGCACTCTCGCCATGGAGCATCAGGTTGTGGCTTAGTGGCTCCACTGAATTATGCTTCCTTAGGGCATCAGAGAGGAGGGAGTCTCAACTGAGAAAATGCCTCTATAAGATCAGGTTGTGGCCAGGCGGTGGTGGTGCAGTACTCCAGAGGTTGAGGCAAGCAGACCTCTGTGAGTTCGAGGCCAACCTGGTCTACAGAGCGAGTGCCAGGATTTTCAAAGCTACACAGAGAGACAAACAAACAAAAAAGATCTGACTATGGATGGGCTTTTTCTTAATTAGTGGTCAATGTGGGAAGGCCCAGATTGTGGGTGGGGCCGCTCCTGGAGAGGGTGGTCCTGGGTTCTATAAGGAAGCAGGCTGAGCAAGCCGTGAGGAGCAAGCCAGTGAGCAACTAGCTCCTCTGTCAGCTCCTGCCTCCAGGTTCCTGCCCTGTTTGAGTTCCTGACCTGATCTCCTTCCACGTGGAATTGTAAGTCAAATAACCCAACTTGATTTTTGGTCATGGTGTTCACCATAGCAATAGTAACTCTACTAGGACAGTAATCATACCCTCTTTCTTAAAATTCTTGATGCTGGGCAGTGGTGGTGCAGGGCTTTAATTCCAGCACTCAGGAGGCAGAGGTGGGTGGATCTCTGTGAGTTCGAGGTCAGCTGGTCTATAGATCTAGTTCTAGGACAGCCAGAGCTTAAAAAAAAAACAAAATAAAACAAAATAAAGAAAGAAGAAAGGAAGGAAGGAAGGAAGGAAGGAAGAAGGAAAGGAGAGAAAGAAAGAAAAAAAAGAAAGGATCTTGGTATCTGGGCAGTGGTGGCACACGCCTTTAATCCCAGCACTTGGGAGGCAGAGGCAAGTGGATCTCTGTGAGTTCGAGGCCAGCCCAGTCTACAGAGTGAGTTCTAGGACAGCCAAGGCTACACAGAGAAACCCTGTCTCAAAAAAAAGAAAAAAAAAGAAAAAAAAAACAAAGAACAAAAAAACAAATCCAATCTCCTTTAAAATCCAAAGTCTCTGACATCACTGCCCAGTCCGAAACTGGATATTTTTTAAAGAGACAAATATTAAAGTGTTTGAATTTGTTAAGGCTATGGGACTATTTACATTTTACGTTGTAAAGTGCTTTATATTGTGATCTTTATTTAGTGTGTGATCTTGGGGATAAAAAGAAAGGAAAGGTTGTGGCTTAACAGTGATGTGTTTCTGTCAAATTGGCAGGGGGTCAGCTGTGCTGACTAGTTTTATGTCAGTTTAACACAAGCTAGGGTCAGAGAGGAGGAAACCTCAACTGAAAAAATGCCTCCATAAGATTGGCTGTAGACAAGCCTGTAGGGCATTTCTTTTTCATAAAGTAAGTAATTTATTTTTATTTTATGTGCATTGGTGTTTTCCCTGCACATATGTCTGTGTGAGGATGTCAGACCCCCTGGACCTGGAGTTACAGACAGTTGTGAGCTGCCATGTGGGTGCTGGGAACTGAACCTGGGTCTTCTTTCTGGAAGAGCAACCAGTACTCTTAACCACAAAGCCATCTCTCCAGCCCCAGCATTTTCTTAATTAGTAATTGATGGGGGAGGGCACAGCTCATTGTGCGTGGGACCACCGCTGGGCTGTTGCTCTTGGGTTCTATAAAAAAGCAAGCTGAGCAAGCCATAAGGAGCAAGTCAGCAAGCAGCATCCTCCATGGCCTCTGCATCAGCTCCTGCCTCTCAGTTCCTGCCCCATTTGAGTTCTTGCCCTGACTTCCTTCAGTGATGAACTAAGATGTTGAAGTGTGAGCCCAATAAACAAACCCTTTCCACTCCAAGTTGCTTTTGGTCATGGTGTCTTATCACAGCAATGATAATCCTACCTAAGACTTGCTGTCTTTGCAGATGACCTAGATTCCCAGCACCCATAACTCCAGTTCCAGGGGATAGGATACCGGCTACATACATACATACATTCTCAAAAAACATTTGTACACATAAAATAAGTAAATCTAAAAATAAATTAAAAAGGCAAATGAGCTAACCAGCAAACATCCAACCTCTTTATTCACATTAATGATACAGAAACAAAAATGACACTCCTTGTGAACATTAACATGCCAAATGCTTAAAAACACAACCGTGGGATCCAGGTCTACAAGAGCGAGTTCCAGGACAGCTTCCAAAGCACAGAGAAACCCTGTCCCCGGGGTGGAGGGGGGACCACAACTGTGGGAAAGTTACACCCTAAAAGTTATGTTTGCCCCAAAGATCTGAAATGTAATCATTATTTTCTAGGGCATAGAAAATGTAACAGCTCAGGACCTTAGAATCCCAGAAGATGACAGTCTCCTGGCCTGGGGTTTCCAGACTCCTCTTCCACCTAGGTTGACATTTACAGCAACATGTGCTCTTGTACACATCGGACTCAGACACACTAAGTGGCAGGCAATCACTCCTTAGCACTTTCATTAGGCAGTCTATAGCAATTGCTTAAAATATAAAGAGCCATCCCAGGAAACCGTTCTTTGTCTTTGTTTAGAGAAAACAGTCTTAAACCCAGCAATAAGAGTGGATAGGCAATCTGTGTGAACTCATAATTCAAGATCTTGTTCAGCTTTGAGTTTTAGCCTCGAAGAAGGGAAGGAAGGAAACTAAGGGTGCATTTCAGAATTCCTTAAGTCTTGCTTTGTTGGCTATGGGCTAACCGTAATCTCAACGACAAATTGAGAAACACAAAGCCTGGTGTGGTGGCCACACATTTAATCCCATCACCCTGGAGGCAGAAGCAGGAGCACAAGCTTGGTCTACAAGGCAAGGTTCAGGCCACCCAAGGCTATGCTGATGGAGACCCCAGGGAAAGGGAACGATACATACAGAACCGGTTGGAGTCTGAGGGCACTCATGATTGCCACTAGAGACAGGGCAAACCAATCCTCCCACCCAAACAGCTCCAGTCTCCCGGGAGCTTTGGTTCTTACTCTTCTCCTTCTAGCAGTCCTGCCTTGCTGTCTGTCTCAAATCTTTCCTCATTAGAGATAAGGATGAATCAGAGGCTTGTGTATTAGCTGAGAACAGGGAGCGAGCGAGCAGTCCCTCCCTGGCTTCCCAAGGCCGGGCAGGCACAAGTCACTTGTGGGGTGGGACATGAGGCCTTGGGGCCGGCCTCCCTACCTGCTTCTGCTCCTCGTTTAGCCCGTTGATAGCATCGTCCACAGGCAACATCGAGTGAGCTCGCTGCGAGACAGCGAGGGGCGATGGCCGCACCCTCCAACTGGACACCCGTCGCCCCAGCAGCCGGATCGCAGTCGCCATCTCTGCCTGACTCCAGGAGCTTGGGCTGCATTAGCTCCACCAACCCTAGTCTCATAACTCTGTCCAATTGGAAAGGGGGTGGGGTCCCAGTAGCCAATCACACTCGGAGGACGCCGAAGGCTTCGCTGCTCTTACAGCCAAGCGAGCCAATCAGCCGTGAGGCGGTAGCCTTCTCTGGCTCCGGTGTTTGCTGCCTCCGGTACTTTCTTTCCTAAGTGTCTTACCTGGGTTCATAATATAGTATCTCCTGCTGAGAGTGTAACCTTTCCTTCGTGGGAAAGCAAGTACTCCCATACAGGACGTGCCGAGCGCCTAGTTTGGAGGAACAAAGTGTCCTAACAGATCCAGGCCAACGAAGCTCCGTAAAGAATCTCCAACACTGTTTAAAACAGTTAAGATTTGCTTTGTTATTATGTAACGAGTTTTGGTTCCTGTTGTCCTCCAGATTATGTAAGGGCGTTTTCTCGACTGGGCAGGAAGGGAAGAGCGGTGTTTGAGGTCCCCTGAAAAAGCCGTAAGTGTGAAGATTCTACAGACTGACTTTAGAACTTTCTGATTGTGGAGATAGGGCTAGAGCAGATTCTCTGCTGGAGGACCTGAGTTCAATTCCCAGGACCCACCTCTACACAAGCACCTGTCCACACTTACACAAATTAAAAAATAGCAAAATATGTCTTTAAAAATTATTTGAAGTATTTTCAGTTCCTTTAGTAGCCATTTATCTCCAACCTCTGTGTCTGACCGAATATTCTTGACAATCAAGTAAGAAAATTTATTTTTTTAATTAATTTGAGACAGGATCTCTTTATATAGCCCTGGCTGTCCTTGAACTAGTTGGTTATGCATCCAAAGAGATCTGCCTACCTCTGTCTCCCAGGTGCGTTGACTAAAAGTGCATCTGGAATTTATTAATATAGCAGATCGCTAACTTGCACCAAACCAAAAGTCTAAGAACGCCATCAGATAGCTTCTGAAACCCATGGCAGAGATTTCCTTGGTTTGCAGAAACTTATCTACCCAATGTTGGCACCAATGTCTTTAGTAAAGTATTGATATGTGACCCTTGTTGGATCTGTGGCTATACAGGTACACTGTAGCTCTTCCCACAGAGGAGTGTGTCAAAGGACGTGGTCACTCATATTGGCTTAGAATACACTTAGAGCCTTTGAAGTGAGAGCTGTCTTTGAATAAAGACAGTTTAACAGGAGTCAGGCTCTTTCCCTTAATTCCCTTTTTGAGATTTTCCACCTCTGTGATAACGTCCTTGGACTCATCTCAGGTGTGTGGAACCCAAAGTCCAGGAAGTGGCATTGCACACATGGAACTTTGAACACATTTCTTGGATCTTTGATGTCTCTTTTATTACCTGAAAATGGAAACAGTATCTCCCCAGACTTCGATGCTATTACAGGGCCTACATGAGAACAGTGTCGTCCACCTACATCCCCCCCGACTTTAAGGCTATTACGAGACATACATGAAAACAGTGTTCCCGTCCCCCGAGTTCAATGCCATCAAGAGGCATACATGAAAACAGTGTTCCCGTCCCCCGAGTTCAATGCCATCAAGAGGCATGCTCACTTGGACAGAGGACACAGCACAATGCAAAGCATCCACTTAGTACCCATGAGGCTCTGGCTCAACCCAACATACAAAATTAAATAAAAAATGATCGTATGCTTAATTATATAGTACAGCACTCAGCACCAAGTCCTCATTTTAGTCATTCCTGGCTATATCTGACTTCCCTCTACCTGTTCTCTACATCCTGACTTACTCCCTTCTCACAACTTGGAAGTCCTGAATTCTGGGGCCTCCCTAATAAGAGGTCAAGGACCAATCACACATCTATAACCCCAGCCCTTGGGAAACTGAGGCAGGAGGATCAGGAGTCCAAAGTTATTTTCAGCTACATGAAGAGTCTGAGGCCCTCCTGGGCCCCCATGAGACCAGTCTTAGAACACGAAAAAGAAAACACAGAGTCACATTCCTCTTATTTCTGCTCTGATTGAAATGAATTCTTTGGCTTTTGAGATTGTCCTTGATCTCTAGAGAGCCAAGGGAAAGTGTATAAAAAAGAATATTACAGCAGAGTGCTGTGACTTTCCTTAGCCTGCCCTCTGCAGAGATGAGGAAACTGTGAGTCTTTGCTACTGACCTCTACATAGGTTGTGAGGCACAGCTTTGTAGGAAATAAGGGCCAGAAACTCAAAGATAATGAAAATCCCTGTGACAGATGAGGTTCTAGACAATCCCCAACTTAACCACTTCTGCATGTCTGTTGAAAAGTTTGTTTAAAAATATTGACAACACAGCTGGGCGGTGGTGGCGCACACCTTTAATCCCAGCACTCTGGAGGCAGAGGCAGACGGATCTCTGTGAGTTCGAGGCCGGGCTGGACCGACAGCCTCCAAAACAATACACAGAAACCCTGTCTCGTAAAAACAAAAAAACAAACAAAAAAATTGACAACACATCCACATGCTCAAAAATTAGAAGTTTCTTTTCTTTTCTTTTTTTTTTTCTTTTTGGTTTTTACAAGACAGGGTTTCTCTGTATTGTTTTGGAGGCTGTCAGTCCAGCCTGGCCTCGAACTCATAGAGATCCACCAGCCTCTGCCTCCCGAGTGCTGGGATTAAAGGCGTGCGCCACCAACGCCCGGCTATTTATTTATTTATTTTTTATTTTTTATGTATTTATTTATTTATTTGCTGTGCTTTAAATAATGTTTCCTCACTACTTTGCAATCTGTGTGACCCCTTATTTTAATCCCTTGAATAAGAAGCCAAGAACTTGGAAGCACCCAGCCTAGATCTACCCACTGATAGCACTCTATTGTTTTATGTAAGCAAATGTGATTATGCATGTATGTTGTTATCAGTGAGTGATGACACATGGCTGTAATCCCAGCACTGGCACAGCAGAGGTGGGAAGGTCAAGAGTTCAGAGTCATCTTCAGCTGTGTAGCATATATGGGATCACCTGGGCTACATGGGACCCTGACTTAAAAAAAAAATTAGTCTGGAAAGATGGCTCAGCACTTAGGAGCACCTGGCTGCTCTTCCAGAGGACCATGCCTGCCTTTCAGCCTATTTCTATTATTTTTAATAAAAAATAGTTTCTGTGTATGGGTTTTTGCCTGCATGTGTGTTTGTGCACCACGTGGGTGTCTGGTGGCTGAGGAGGCAGGAAGAAGGTGATCTCCTGGAGTTACAGATTGTTGTGAGCCACCATATGGATGCTGTGTACTGAACCTGGACCCTCCAGGAAAGCAGGCAGTGCTCTTAACCACCGAGCCATCTCCCTTTGAGCACAGGCCCACCGTGCCCAGTGAACTCGGCATCACACACACTTGTCACATTCAATGCTTTCACTCTGATTTCTACCTCATTTTCTCCCTCCTCCCTCCTCAGTTTTAGATTCTTCTCGTGGGCTTCAAATTTTGGACCCCGGAATGGCTATTTAATGAAGATCTAATTTGTAGTCCCTTCTCTACATCTCCTAAGCCTTAAGTGACAGGCCAAAATCTACTGGACCCCCCCCCCCCACTAATTCAGAGGCTACTGTGGATGACAACGCTTACATGTCCTTTGTGAGTTTTCTTTGGGCAGTGTGGAGAGTGAATGTACCTGTATTAGTGGCCATTGTTGACATGAACACAGCCACATCAAGGACACCAAGCTTCAGACTCATGGGAATGGCCAGGCCTTCCCTTGGTCTATGTACAGATGTTGAGGAATGCTTTATCTTTAGCTACAAACAGTATGAGCAAAAAGTACTTATCGCAACTCCTTCCTCCTGGATGACTACATGATCATAGCCCCTGGGTCTGCTGCCCCACAGACACTGCCTAGTGAGATCAGTGAACCTGCCTCCTAGTCCATGCTGTATATAAAACGCAGGCTGAGCGCCGAGAATTCTGGTGCATCTCCATCCTAGTGCGCTGTCAAACCAGGCCTAGCTTTACAGTACTCATGTGTCTTTCCTAATCTCCATGGCTCCCTTCACTAGGATACAGCTGCATGGGGGCAGCGACAGGCAGACTGCTCAGCCTCAGTTGTGAGTCTCATTCCCCACAATAGGTAATGCAACTTCTGCCGCAGCTCCCTTACAATCTTATTCCCTGTGTGCTATGCCAGAAACTTGAACGTGCTTGCTTGTCCAATATCCATGCTCTGGATGGCCCCACACTCTTGGTGGATCATAGTCAACAAGGAGGCATTCATCACTAGATAAAGAAGAAGACAGCCCCACTGGGACTTTCCCTACAGCTTCTGGCCTTGACTCTCCCTCTGGGCAGACAACTCAGCCTCGGTGGTGTGTCTTACCACATACAGCAGCGGCAATGCTAATGTTACTACAGAAAGGAAGCATGCCATTCCATGCTACATGGAGAAATGGCTGCTTTGGGATTCTCCTGGCTCAGCATCCTCATCAGAAACATCACTTCTGTACCTCACAGACTCATACTTGGTTCTATCATGTCCCCAATCAAGCTAAGTGTTGTGTGACCCTTGCCTAGAGGGATGTGAACAAAATCTACTCAGCCCAGGTAGGGTACCAGTGACACACCAAAGTACAATTGCACCAAAGCCCAGCCTGGCAAACCCCTGAGTTTATGAAGCTTGCTTGCAGAGTGTGGGTGAGGGGTTACTTACAGGAGTGTGGGTGACCCCAAAGCAGCCTGTCACTCCAGCATGGATGAAATTGACCCCATAGCCACCTATAGATATGCTCCTCCTCGCTGCCTTCCACATCCTACGTAGTATGAAAACTTCTAGACCATGAGATTGTGCACCCAGGGAAGAATTACATATAATCGTCACAAAGGCACAAAAACGAGTGGCTAAAATCTCAGCCGAGGCTCTACTGACCTTTCCACCACACCTTTCTAAATGAGGAAACAGCAGCAGCCCTATCTCAAGGGTCTCATGCAAATGATCACAGCGGTCCCAATGAGGACAGAATGCCATTTCCTGTCACAGAATTGTATCCTTTTTCTATTCCCACAAGCATTGCCAACCTAATCAGTGTAGCATTGTAGCAC